GAGGGGGAGTGCGCGAGAGAAAAGTTTGGTCACGGCAGGGAATGTGTGATCAAAGCTGAGCCCAGGCTTCCTGTTACACCGGGACTATATATATATCGTGTCTTTAATGTTGGGAATGTGAGCAGCTGCTGGAGCCTGGCGCTGGCTCTGCCTGATTCCCAGCGCGCTGAGGTTTCTTCCACCGACCACAATGAACAAGTTCCTGTGCTGCACGCTTGTGGTGAGTCCCTTGCAGAGGTAGATGGGCTCTAGGATGCATTGCAGCTTCAGACACCAGCCTGGAGAGACACACGGCTTTTCTTCTGGGCTTTTGTTTTGGATTTGGGGTTTTTGGGGGGGTTGTTTGTTTGTTTGTTTGTTTGTGGGTTGCTTTGTCTTCTCTCCGTTTTCTTGGTAAACCCTTTTTGTTTCATCTTTCCAAACTTTCTTGGCGAGTTTGGAATGTGATGGACACGTTCAGCTCCAGGGAGACAGCAGGGTTTTTCATCCCATTCTCAAGGTAGTGGCATGAATTGCTTTTATTTTGCTTTTTTTTCTGACTTCCTCCTTTTATGAGGCCTCATCAGACTGGTCTGAAGCAAAAGCCTGTATCGAGTAATGAATTTAGAAACTGTAGGCTACGATGTTTGTTTCTGATTACAAAAGCTCCATCCCTGCCTGCCTCTAATCTCCGCTGCAGGGGCACTCTCAGGTACTGGGTTGGATTTCTTACCCGGGAAAACCACTGTGAACACCACAAAAAAAACCCCACTAGTGTGTGGTTCTTGTCTTGGCTTAGAAAATTCAGCCTCATATGCAAGAAGGAGATGAATTAGTAGCTGTGTCAGTAGCTATTACAGAAGAAGTTGGGTTATTAAATCTGGTATAAGCCCCTGCTTTAATAAGTCTTTGTTTACTTGGTGATTTAGTAAGATACTTCCAGATGCAAAATTAGAGATGTTAGCAGTGCAGTAAATCTTTCAAAATGTTATTTAATCCATTTAGTCATATGGAATGGTATATGAGTTCAGTTTAATTAAAACCTGCCTACAGACAGATCCTGTGTAACATTTATTTGGAGGCTCTTCATCTTTTGCATAAGGAAACTTTCAAAGAAAAACATTAAAAAATAATAGTCAGAGCAGGCTCTTGCCAGCACAGTAACTTGCTTCTGGGTTGTTTTGGTGAGCACAACGGCATTAATGTTGTGGCAGAGCATTAGAACTGAGATCCATTTATTCTGAAAGCTTTTTATAAATGCAACGAGATTTCCAGGATTTGATGAGTAATGTGTGTTTATTACTCTGTACAACTTTCTGAAAGAGCTTTTTGAGAAGGAAACCCAAAGTAATTAATGGTGCACGGGAAGTAAAATTTGTCAGGCTTGTGGTCAGCAGATTGAAATTCAGGACAACTTTTTCATCCCATGTCTGATGTTGTGCCTGCTTTGTCAATATGAAATCACAGGAAGTTAATCTGGGAGTTTCAGCAATATCTGGTTATCAACCTGGCTTCTTATCTGTGGCTGTCAAAAAATAATCACATCAGGATTTTGATTTTAATTAAATGCAATGTGCCTGTTCATGTTCTCCCACAAAGTAATAGCATTTGGTGAATTCAGCATAATCCTCTGGCAGATGAGTCTTGGAGCTGAAATACATCAGTGGCAGTGCATAGCAAAGAGATCATCATTCAACTGCATTATTATTATTATTATTGTTGTTGTTATTAAATTAATTTTAAATTATTGTGAAATTAAAGTAAAATTAGTGAAGTTTAAGTACTGTCAGATGTGCTAGAGCTCAGAAAAGTAGCTTTAGTATCTGTTTTTAGGAGGTACAACAATCCTTTTAGGAGGTACAACTATAGATAAAAGTTCTGTGGGTCTGGCTCACATATCCCCCAGCCTAATTTGGAGACATTGTATCTGGGGCATGATGTACTTTCAGCCTTGGCTTCTTTGCTGAGGTTTCAGAAAGGTTATTCCTGATGTGGAGGTGCACTCATGTTTGTGTTGTTTGCTTGGAACACTAAAGCTGCTTACAAACATTATGAAATTGGACTGAATGGAAAGAAATTCCCCAAAGCTGAATCTCATTACTTGTCACGTAACTATCTTGACCCTTATCCTTGACCTTTCTCTATTTTGGATCTCTGGGCACATGTGACATTCTTTTTCTGGCCTGCCTGTTGGGTTTGCTGTGTGTAGGCAGCAGTGGCTTTGCAGCCTGTGAGGGTAGGAGTTATCTTTCTGTCTGACTTTCTTTCTGTCTGCATGTCTGCATGTGTCTTCGTTAAAAATAAAACACTAAGGTTACCAGAAAAATTTTTAAAAGATATTGTGACAATTGAAGTTATACCCACTGTTCAAATCTCATGGAAAACTTAATTTTGTTCCTTCTGTAAAAACACCTGTTTGCACATGGTACTGGACATACATCCTCTAGCTAGCAGGTAGCTGTTAGTAGTTCTGTCAGTGCAAAGGCAGACTGTAGTTGCAGTGGGAACATCCCAGGTTTGGGTTAGCTCTAAATATTGCTGTCACTCTGGTGAATAATGTTCCAAAATGTAAGACAAATATTTTGGAGAGTTATCTGGTTTGTTTTCCCTGCTTTGTCCCTCTACAAGTTTCAAGGCAAATGTAACTCATAGAAATGAAGACTTTCAATTTAGCCCTGCTTTGATAAAATGTGAAACTGCTCTTCATCTGAATTTCATTTTCATACCAGTGAAAATGAAACAGTAATTTAGACCCCTAAGTTGGTGTGAATGACAACTAACTAATGGTGCCTCAAAAAGTCTCTACAAGACTTGACATTTTGACATATTCCTTTATTGGCAGAGAAATGACGACAGTGTTTCATAGCCTCAGTTTTGAATATGCGCCACTCGGGAGAGTCACCAGTTAAAGTCCTAATGTAAAAGAGGAGCCTCCACTTCATAAAGTGTCTTCCAAACAAAAATAGGTCCTGTTATGTCCAAAGTGAGTGGATTACAATGAAGCAGTTGGTAGAATGGTAGAAGAACTTTACAGCTGAACTCCAAGCAGTGAAGATGGCTCCATGTCAGGTTTCATTGTGTACCTGGCCCTTGGCTGTGGTCTGCAGAAAGGTCCCTTGCCTGGGCAGTGCTCTCGTGAGCCTGCAGCCCCCACAGGGCAGGTCAGCAGTGCTGCAGAGCTGCTGGCCCAAAGATGTTAAACCTGGTGATTGCATGGGCCTCCACAACAGCAAGATGAGGTGGATGAGAGCTAGATGGGAGTAATTTCTGCCAGGATGGCAAGCATTTTACAATGGTGATTTTCAATAGCTGGATGTGGATCTGATCCAGCATGGCATTGTCACATACTGGATCTGAGATACAAGCTATTGATGGAAGAGGACCTTGATAATATCATCCAGTGCTATATTTTGCCAGTAGGATTTCTCTGGGCCTGTGCATGAGTTCAGTGAGGAATTTTGCCTAAGGGTTGAGGATATGTGAAAGCCTCCTGCCTTTGCTTTGTCCAAATATTTTATATAGAAGGCAAAGTAGGAGAGTTGTGAGGTTTTACTTTGAACCCAATGCAAACACTGGGAGCAATCTGACAGATGTCTTGAATGATTATTTATCACACAAGAAAATATGCTTTGGAATACTTGTGGAATGCAAAACAGAAACAGATTTATCTTTCTCAGCAAATTAAACATTCTCCTTTGGTCTACAACCCAAAACCACAAAGCCAAGCTATATAATAATATTTTCATATGCTGAAAAGCCACTCTCTTTTCTGCCACAAAGCACTGATTTAAAGGGATGATGCTCGAAGGATTTTTACTTCATGTGCTTTGTCTTCTAGTTCATTTTAATTCAACAGGAGAAATCAAGCAGCTCTTTGCCTTACATTTAAAGATGAAAGAGAAGGGTGTGTATTTTTTTTTTTGCCCAAGATCTGAAATGAAATTTTACAATCACTTTATTTCTCTTTCAAAAGCATCTTCTAAGGAATCAAACAAATGGACTGCACAGGCCTTTTATATGTATGCTGACATAAGGATGGTATGGAGAAATATAGCCTCAGGCCTAATGTGCTGAGTGACACAGTGAAAGAACTGCTGTCTAACCTTGGGTAATTCATCTTGAATAAGTTCTCAGCATTTGCTTGCATCACACTGACTTACACTAGGCTTATATTTCAGTATTTACAGTTCATCCCAATTCCTCACACTGAGCCAGCCATCCTGAGAGGTGCCCAGGATTTCCCCCAGGGACATGGAAGAAGATTGAGTTCTTCAGTCTTTTTAGCAGTGAGCCTATGACACTAGAACTCCATTTCACCCAATAGGTTGTTAGATGTAGTTAATTATATTAGGTTTTATTCTAGTTTTGGTGTGGGTTTTTTGTTTGTTTGTTTTGTTTTTGGGGTTTTTTTGCTACTACAATTTTGTTATTGATAGAATTTCATACTCATATAACAAAAAAACCCCTAACCATTAGGGTTTGTTTTTTTTTTTTAATTGAGCCTTGCATTTTACTAACCCTAGGAAAACTGTTTACAAATGAATCACACTAGCAATTAATTTGTCAAGATGAAAAAGATACTGAGCATTATTTTCTTCCCTTAGTGCTGGCATATAAAGAATTGGCTGAGGGCTTAAAACTGAAAGAAACTGCCTAGATCTCTTCAGTCCATTTGCCATCTCTTCCAGGAAATGAAGTGGGGTATTTGCTTTCAGAAAGGCATTGAGAGCTATATTTAGGACACATGGGTTTCTTGCACCTGCTTCTCAGTGAAAGGCTGTTGCCAATCTTCCTCTGACAAGAGAATCCCCTTTTCATTTGCCAGTATTATCCTTTAATGGAGAAAGTTCTCTCTGAGTTCACTGGCTGTCTGTACTGAGTCCATGGCTTCTCTTGTGACTTGCCAAGCTATTGAATAAGTCCAGATCCTCTCCAGGGAGGAGCTCTCCATTTCCTTTGAAACTTTCTCTGTACTGCTTCCCAGTGAATTATCCTTTCCTAAACAAGGATGAACGGAATTTTACACAATCTTCTGAATGACAAATCCATTAATTTGGTTGTATGCAGCACTGATGGATGCCAGCTTTGGTTTCAGAAGGGTTATAGAGTGAACATACTCATTGTGCCTACTTCTGATTCCAGTAGACTGAAGCTGGACTTGCAATTTCTTCCTTCTTTCAAATTGGCACATTACACCTTTTCCAGCAAGAGCAAAACAGGCCAGGCGTGTTTATGGAAGAAATCTTTCTTTCTATGAAGCTTTTGGAGAGACCACTGTTCAAAACTAGTAAGTTCAGATCATGACACTTTGCTGTGCTCAAATAGTGCTTAGTGAATAGAAGACATTCAGGTGCTTAGTATATAGACTGCATTTCAATATGGACATTCAGATCAATCAGAGGTTTGTGTAGCTAAGAAACTGCTATCAAGTTGGTCATAGCATAGTTTAGGAGAGGAAATGTCAGGAAGGACATAAAATGCATTTAAATGCCATTTTAATTTGTCTTAGGAACATGCTATTGAAGGGCCTCTCCTGATCATCTTTATTTACTGTGTTTTAGTTTTCATATCAGAGCAGCCCTGGAGTGCACAAAGTGGATTTACCAAAGTAAACTGAACTGATGAAAGCAAATCTAGAGATGGGCCCCAGAGACACCAGATGCACTGTAACCACTAATGCATGCTTGTCCATGAGAGCAGATTGAAGTTAGTCCAAAATATCCCCTCAGAATAATACATAATGTGGATGTCAGGTGCTCAGCACCATCTGTTTTGCTCTGCAAATCTGCTGTAACAGGTGATGCAAATTCCTAATGTAAGCACAAACTAACTGTGTGTTAGGCCAGGAGAAAGAACAATTTAGTGATGTTCCCCTCCAGCTTATTCTGTGAATTGGGGGACAAAAGAGTATTTTCATTCTGCTTGTGCCATGTTGCTACAGTAAAAATAGTGACAATTTTATTTCATTATCTTCCACCATTACTACTGAATTCTTGCAAAACATCTGAAAAATAGATTGAATTTACCTTGGCACTTGATGTAGGTTTAAAGATAACTTCTGATTTGCAGGTCAATATTCAGAATATCAATATTCAGAATACTCAATTGTGCTGTGTGTGTTTGGACTGCATAGAAAACAATTGCACATCTTTTTTATTAAGTATTATTGAGTAACCTACAGTAGTCTTATGAAGTGTGATATTGGGGATTGAGGTCTAGAAATGTACTTAGCAACATACTGATGGCTATATTTGGTCTAAAAAAAAGTCCAGAAAAAATGCCCTAAAAGGACGCATGTGCTGTCTATGGCTGTGGTTGATATCTGATGCATAGAAGAGATGGCAGAAGTATCACTATTTTTGTGAATTCAGTTTTTGGCTTGGAATTTCTTGATGAAAAGCTGATGTTTATATTTAATAGTCCTTTATTATTTTCATCCATTACTATGTCAGGTATCATCTTGAACTTGGCTGTTTGCAATCTCCTATGGCAGTGAGTTGCACAGCTCCCTGTGCCAATAGGCTCACAGTAGTCAAACAGTGGTAATGGTGATCTAGTTCTATGTTGAAAATTATGTATAAAATGCTCTGGTAAAGTTCAGAGATATTCATTGCATATCTTTAGTTTGACTGAAGGATCTTTTTGTCATAATATTTTACTAAATAATATAGTGGACTCCTGCATACATGTGGCTCAGCCACTGATCAATGGATTACTGCAGCTATGTAATGTATTTCTGGGAAAAAAAGAGAAAACAAGTGTGATGTACTTTTCTCTTAAAAGTAAAAAGAAAAAAATCAAATGGGAAGACTGATTGTTCTTTTAGTGATGCTAATTTATTTATCCTATTATTATGGTTTCAGAAGGGTTATGCTCATTTAGATTAATAATATTCTAGTTGCCATTATTAGTTTATAGTTATTGGTTCTTCCAAGGACAAAACTCAGTATGTCTCACACACATATGGTTCAAGTATTGTTTTGCTCAATTTTTAAAGTTAATTCCTCTCAAATTGTGTTGAAATGTTTTCAATTTTTATTGGCTTGTTTCCCACAGCTGTAGGTCCTTCAGGGAGCAAATCCCTCCATTTTTCCCTACAAATTCCTCGGCTTTCATACCCTGATTATTGAATTTTAATTAATTTTAATGCTGAGTCATCCCCTGCAGCAAAACTCTTTATTTGCCTCATACATGGTTTCCCATGTAAATAGTTGAGTAAGGAAAATAGATAAAATCTTGTTATTCTTGCTCCTACATGTTGCAGAGTAGAGTTAACAGCTATGAAATGATTCACCTACCTTGTTCATTACATGAAAATGTGTCACCATGGGCAGAAGCACAACCCAGAGGAGCAGATTCTACTGCCATGACAGCTCTGGATTTGTGGGGAGCTGTGCACTGCAGAGCAGGAATACTGATGTTTCTGCACAAGGACTGCTGCCCATATGACTGGTTGCTGTCCCTAATAATTTTCACAGTGTCAGATGTTCACCTCTGTTGGGAATTGTCTTGGATTTCCACAACAGATATCTGTGTGAAGTGTGGGTTGATGCTTATCTTTGTAGTGCCTGTGCCACATGTTGTAGTCAGATATGTTCTGTGAAGGAAATGTTTGTGTCCATGCAAGTCTTGGACTCTGGGATGCTGTATTATCTATTACTGAACTAAAACCATAGAAGAAAACTTCACGGTTCACATCAACAATTAATGAGATTACCAGGACTTCCTTATTACTAGAGTCATAGCTGTAGATTTACCAAGGGTGGGGGCATTTTTCCTCAATGTGAAGCCACTCACTATTAAAAAATGTGCTGCACCCTCTTTGTTAAATAGATCACATAAAACAGATGCAGTCATTTAAGGAAAATGGAGTTGTTCATCAAACTTCAAAGACTAATAAGGAATTTCTCACAGTGAAAGGTATTGTGCATTGAGACCACAAGAAAAGTGAGATCTCCAACCTCAAGAAATCTGATAAGTTATCAGTCAAGGGCATTATTAGTCAAGGGTAGCTGCAAGAGGTTGTAGGGAATATCCATACTATCTGCATTTCATTCCTCAGCCCAAGTACACGTGTATGAAAAGTGGATTCATAGATGTGCAATAGGAGAATGCATTTAAGAATACTTGCTTAAGCAATAAGAGTTCCTAAGCTAAGCATCTCATATCACTTGTTGTTTACTGTGAATTGTGTTAATGCAGATGAAGTTTTAAATTGCCATTTCCAAACTTAATGAGACTATGGCTTTAGAAGTGCCTTGATATGGCAGAAGTGAGCCCCTTAAATGAAGCATCTCAAGAAAATACAACTTAAAAAGAAAAAGTTAATTCCACTTATATTTTGGGGACATTTGAAAAAGAGGAAATACATTTTTGAAATTGAATTGGCAACTCTGTGTTAGCTGACAAAGATTAAGTTAGCAATAAAGACAAGTCAGTTAGATCTATAATTTTATTGGATACACTGAAAAATATCTTAGATCCAGTTTACTTCATCTTTATAAAATAATGTACAAGTTTTGGAAGAGCAGTGGCACATGTAGCCATGCATGCAGTGCAGGGACAGAGCTGGGTTATCAGTGAGGAGAGTGAGCTGTTGGCAGACCCTGTGGGGATCAGGGTAGTTCTCAAAAATTATTTTTGTGGTAGACTGACAGAATCACAGAACCAAATTTTCAATTATAGGACCAAAACAAAGTGATATGGAGGTTGTCTCTGCAGCAAGGCAGGCTGTCTCAGCTCACCAGGTCCCCAGTCACACCAGCAAAGCTGACTGGTTGTAGGAAGCAGGAGGACTCCAGCTGTCATGGCATGTGCTGGTACTGAACCAGCTTTTCACAACAGCTGTGAGCCTGTGGTTTCAGGTAGGACATGAAAGCATTGGCCTGGTCTCTTCAAGCTCACACAATTGAGTCCTTAATGTGCCCTTCGTACCCTGCATCCTTCCTTACCTTTGTCTCAAGCTGTGTCTACTGCTTTGATGTAGTTGCCACATTACATCCCAAAAGCTTCTGCATATCAGTGCAAAATTGAATGGAAGGCATTAAAAAGTAAACTCTATTGTTCTAGCCAATAATTTCTGTAAAAAGCATAAGAGAAATAGTGTAAGGAATCACCTTTAAAGGTATCTGTGGTGATGGTGCACTACACTGGTCATATTCATATGTTCAGGCACAATTCCTGCTTAAGAACACAAAGATGTATAATCCCCACCTGCTGTGCATTGGACAAATTTTCTGGTGCCAGGCAGTAAAAGGTCATTGACCAGTGATATTAAAAGGGTGTAAATCAGAGAATAGTATCTACATCTATGGAAGGAATCACTTAGGTCGGGAAGATTTGCTAGATAAGATCCTAAAACTTTCCCATTCTTAGACATAGGAGAGTCTGGAAGCTTGCAGGTATCTCAGAAATTTCAAATGCAAATATCTGTTTGAAGATGAGTGACATGAGTAGACTCATAAACTCACTGAAGTGCAGGTTTCCTTGTGATCACGGTGCTTCCCGGAACTAAAAGGAGGCGATGTTTTGTTTTCCTGTTGCTAGCTCTTGGACATTTCTGTCAAATGGACCTTCCAGGATGATTCTCCCCCCAAGTACCTCCATTACGACCCAGAGACATCTCGGCAGCTGCTGTGTGACCAGTGTCCTCCGGGGAGCTACGTGAAGCGGCACTGCAGCGCCAGCAGCCCGACGCAGTGCGCCCCGTGCCCGGCTCAGTACTACGCCGACGAGTGGAACAGCAACGAGGAGTGCCAGTACTGCAGCACCGTGTGCAAGGAGCTGCAGCTCGTCAGGCAGGAGTGCTCCAGCACGCAGAACCGCGTCTGCGAGTGCGTCCCGGGCAGGTACCTGGAGCTCGAGTTCTGCTTGAGGCACACGGAGTGTCCGCCCGGCTCCGGGGTTGCCCAGGCAGGTGGGTCCCGCTCCTCCATAGCTATGGACAGGCGTAATCGGAGCTCGGCAGCGCGTCCACGAGTCGTGGCAGTGACAAGATTAGGAAAGAGGCTTGTCCAGATGAAATTGCAGGACAGTAAATTGTAAAGCCAATTGAACTTGTTCTAATCTGCATCATTTGGACTGTAGCCAAAGGAAGGTTTCTCAGTGGAATACCCAGCTCCTGCTGTAATATATAACTTAATGGCAGTAGCAAATGCAGCAAATTGCACTCTAATGAGAAACATGATGGATTGCCTCTTTTAAAGGAACATTATCTGGAATGTAGTATTTGTGTGTGTGAAAAATAATAATGGTTTTCATTTTGAAATCCACTGTTTCAAGCAACCGTATATCTTGACAAACACCAGGAGCACTACATGTTTGACACCAAGTATATAATTATAATAACATTAATATAGCTCTGGTGTCACTGCAATATGTGGTAATAATTAATTATCAGCATCCTAAGTGGAATTTTCCTTTCTTAAGGAAATTGTTACTATTATCAAGCAAACAACCATTTCTTTGTCAAGCAAGCTGGCACAGTGCTGAAAGTCTGGTGGGAATATAGAGCAAAGCAGCACTTTTCTGTCGAGTGTATTCTTCATTTAAAACAACATAAATTGTTAAACCAATAATTTGTTCTTCCCTCAAAACCAAATACATCATTTATTGTTTGGCAAATGCTGTGGCCCAGTTTAGCTCCAGTATTTAGCACAACCTGAAAGAATTGTAAACTGTCATTGTACCAGATCTTGATAACTGCCTGGAGAAGAGCACTGAGGAAGGAAATGCAGAAAATCAAAGTGTCTCAGACACCTGCAGGCAGAATGATTTCCCTAGGAATGATGTACCTGCAGTGAGAAACACTAGGGCTGCCCTGTGCATTTTAGTGCTGAGCTGAATGACAGGCTGGAAGTCCTTTTCTGGGTTATGAACCTCTCACTGGAGAGCAGCTTTGGCAGAAGGAGAAATGTCACTGCTGTAGCTGCTCACTAGTCCTTGAGTAATTGGTTGATGAAGCTTTACCCTGATGCCCTTCCACTGTCAAGCATTTCCACCTGGCAGTTACCACATTTCCATATTGTAAACATTCATTAACCTAAACCATTATACCCAGGGGCTTGGGTTAATGAAGTTCCACTGTATCTCAGCAGCAAGTCAAAAGGGACCAGAAACAAAATCCTCAGAAAGGCTTTGGGAGATGAAAGCATAAATTGTCTGAGCAACCAGCCTGCTGCATCCCTCCGAGCACAGTGAAATATGGCAGACAAATTTTAATCCCTCAAATCAGAATAAAGCAAACTTTTAAAGAAGATAAAATGTTGAGTTTTGTAACATCTTGAAAAGTTTGTTTCCAAAAGACCATCAGATTGAACCAGCTAAACCCAAGCAGACCTCAGAAAAGGAATGAAAACATTGTAAAAATAATTGCATCCCCCTGTGTCAATACCACTTTTTGAGGTGAGGCAACAACTAAGAGTTTAATAAGCATGTACTGCTTATTTGTAATAAGTAATAAGTAACTGTGTTACTGCTTTTTGCCATATGATAGCCCTGAACTTTGTAATGAGGCACATTCAGGTGAAATAAAACCTAAAAGCAGAAAAGTATGATTCCACTCCCACACAGGCAGATGGTGTGGTCCAATGCTTCATTTAAGGCTTAAAGCATTAGAATTCTGTTTCCCTGGTGCTCATTGCTCGTGATTACACTGGGATATCACCTTCCTTTGTAGTCTCTTTTTGTAAGTGAAGATTAAGGCTTTGTTCCTTTCTGCCGCGGCGGGCCCTGGATGAGGCAGGGTTTCGAGCAGCATTGTGCTGGGAAAGCAGGCAGCTCTGTCTCCCCCGTGGCTGCTGCCGTTTCCCTGGGAAGATTGGGGGATTCCAGGAGGGTTGGAGGGAGTGGCAGAAGGGCAGGCAGACAGCGGCAATTCGTGTCCTTAACAAGAGCCGCGAAATAAACAGTGAAGAAGCTGGCAGAGCTGGAGAGTGACTTTATGCTCAGTCCTGAGAGCACTGATGGAGAACGCGGTATATTCCTCCCTTGTGCTGCAAAGATTATGCAGCAAGCTGTGAGCAGAACGATGCACCATTTGCAGGAACACTCCTTCCTTCCACTTCCCCGCTGCCAGCACACAGCAGAGCCTGTCTATGGCAGGGAAGTTGCTGAAATGCAGCTGCCTCAGGCCAGCTATCGCTGCCCGCGGGTGCAGGTGCTGCCCGCAGCTGTGTCCAGCAGCGCTGCAGGCAGCGCGCACTGCGCGGGGCCGGGCTGGGGCTGCAGAACGCGCAGGCTTTGCCAGGGGCTGGCGCATACAGGGACCCTGGCAGCTATCAACTCCTTTGTTTCCACTCGTTGTCTGATGAGGTGCTCGGTCAGGTTGTGTGCAAGCACTCTTCTTGATTTTACAGCTGATTGAAAACTCGAGATGCGCAATACTCTCTTTCTCTAAGGATTTCCTGAAATAAAGAAAAGATTGCTAAAAAGCTAACATTAAAATAAACATCCACATGTAAATACTAAAAAAATACACTAGATGGAGGTATTTTCTTATTCAAATATAGTTTCCAATTTTTTCAAATAAATTTTAAGCATGTGCTTAAGCTCATGTTCAATAATGCAGTATTAGATACCAGACTTCAGGCACTTGTTAAATGTTGGATGAATAAGGATGAATTAGGAGTGAGTATACAGCAGTTATTGGTGCTGTTACTTTCCTGCCACTGGTGGTTAGACTGCATAGTTTCAGATTTCATGGATTTGTTTTCTTAGAACAAATGTTAGAACCATATGTTGTGATTCTCTAGTTGTATGATATATTTAGTTCTGAAGTAAAACTATGCATTATAAATCACCAAGTAGAACATGTAAGTCTATTAAATATTTTTTTTAATATTGGACACTGCTTTCTTTGCTTTTAATAACACTTTATTCAAGGCCCAAAAAGAATTTCAAAATTGTTGTCTTTAGTTGATATTGAATTGGATTGTATTTTTATCTAGAACTGAAGTAACCCATTCAAGTCAGGCTCTGGGCAGTTACTGCAGAGTGAAATTCAGAATTTTCAGAGTGAAAATTTTTTTCCACTTATTTACTTTACAGAATGTTTGTATAGGTGAAGGATGAAGATCAGACATAGCGTAATGTGTGAATAGACTTGAGTAATCAAGGTTATAAAGATATTACTTTACTAAATTACTGATTTAATCAGTAATCACCAATTTTAAACTTGGTAACATATTTAAGAGTACTATTTACTGTATTACATCAGCAGGAACATCCTTCTCCTAAGTCATCTTCTGTCTCTTTTTCTTCCAAAGTGATTCCTTAATAGATCACATACATGAAAAGCAGAAGCATGACAGTTTAGAGAGGAATGTTTTTTTGCTGTTTTCTTTTTAAATTTTTTTCTCCACAGTTGAGGTTATATGTAATTGGATGCATTGTTTTCCTGTTTCCACAGGTACCCCTGAGAGTGACACTGTATGTGAGAGATGTCCAGAGGGATTTTTCTCGAATGAAACCTCCTCCAAAGCAGCCTGTCTTAAACACACAAACTGTAGTGCCCTGGGTTTCAAAATAGCTTTGAAAGGAAATGAGGTTCGTGACAACATCTGTCAGGAAAATACAGATACGACACCTCAAAAATGTGGAATAGGTGTGTATCATATTAAGGAAGAGTCCTCTGAAAACATACCTTTAGTTATTGTTAAAATTAATTTACTAAAATCCAGGATAAAAATACCTAGCTTGTTAGCTCTTTGCCTGCTATGGTGATGGTCATAGTAGAACTTTAATTATTGTAGCTCAGACCAAAAAGAACTCAAGCACAAAGAGAAACAGCACTGCAAAGACAAGTTCTTAGTCTGTTTTTTAAGTACTGTTTCTTATCATTCTTGCTGCTTGGTTGTTGTTTTTTGGTTTTGGTTTTTTTTTGGGGTTTTTTTCCTGAGACAGTTAAGGTAAGAGATCAGAACAGTTGACATCTTCTCTTTCTCATTTCAGATGTAACCCTGTGTGAGGAGGCTATGTTCAGGTTTGCTGTTCCTACTCATGTCACACCTAACTGGCTGAACATACTAGCAGACAGCTTGCCTGGGACAAAGGTTAGCACAGAAAATATTGAAAGGATTAAACAAAGGCACAGCCCTCAAGAGCAGACCTTCCATCTTTTGAAACTGTGGAAGCAGCAAAACAAAGAACAGGATATGGTCAAGAAGATTATCCAAGGTATCTTATTGTGATAGCATATGCATTATAAAAAACCTTCTGAATGGCACTTAAAAATTGCTTGGATCAAATACCCCCTGGGGATGTGTTGTGCTTGGAGAGGGGCCTGCAGGCCTTCACTGAGATACATCAATGCCATAAGCATAGGGAAGTCAGAGGGAAGCAGGAACAGAATTCCACTTCTCCAGATCAGTCAAGGACTGAATTCTTTCCAGACTTGTTGCGTACTTTGGAGTGTGTGTTGTGCCGTGACCAAGGTCCCCTTTTAAGACTGCACAACATACAAAGAATTTTGATCAAGTGAGGGGAAAGTGTTTCCCACTGTAATATCTGAGCAACCGAGGTTAGAGGGAGCTGGTTCCCTGCAGCTGAGAGTGCAGTTTGTCTTCTGTAAAGTAGAGGTTGATATTTGTGACTTTATGAATACATAGAGAGGCTTTCCTTTCTTTTTCCCTTCTGGTATCTTTGTCATGCTGATTCATTTGTTTATTTGATTCAGCTTTGTTTGTGCTGAACCTACCAAGACACGTTTCAAAGATGAAATAGCGCTGCAGTATTAATAACAAGATTTTTTACAGTAGTTAGGCCAGGTCTTTTCATGTAAACCGCCATCAACAACCACCACATCCAAATGACATTTTGTCCACTCAGAATAGATTTGAAAAATGCTGCAGAAATGTTTTTTTTTTTACCCCTCTGCTATTTAGTATGTATGCTTATGTCAGTCTAGGAAGTGTCTGGAGTACTTCAAAATTCAAAATTGCTATTTTAACAAAGCTTGCCTAGGCATTTCTGAAGAGAATTAGCTAAATTTTCATTCACTGGAAACAAATACTAGGAGTCCTATCACGTACACACAACATTTTACAGGATAGATGGGCCCAAAAAAGCAAAGATGAGAGAATTATTTGAAGCAAAGAAATTTGGAAAGCAAATTCAGCTTGGAATTTTGGAAGGTTTTTTTGCAGGCTACAGTAAAGTTGTAATATGCTGTACTTAGCTATATTCTCTTTTTGCTTTCTATAGATATCGGTCATTGTGAAAACAGTGTCTTAAAGCACGTTGGCCACCTGAACCTCACCTTTGAACATCTCAACACGCTGATGGCAAGCCTCCCAGGCAAGAAAGTGGGAAAAGAAGATGTTGAGCGCACAATGAAACTATGTCAATCCACAGAGCAAGTTCTGAAGCTTCTCAATCTGTGGAGAATAAAGAATGGTGACCAAGACACCATTAAAGGTTTAATGTATGGACTGAAGCACTTAAAAATGTACCACTTTCCAAAACGAACCATCCAAAGCCTGAAGAAGGTGATAAAGTTTCTTCACAGATTTACAATGTATAGATTATACCAGAAACTCTTTTTAGAAATGGTAGGGAACCAACTTAAATCTGTGAAAGTAAGATGTGTCTAATTCAAGATACGTTTCTATCTCCACTGACTATTCTTCCCTAATTACTGCCAGCAGTAATTAAACTGGAACGTTATTTCCCTACATTTTGATTTACTATTTATAGAAATGCCTGACTGGAATAGTTCTAAGTCTCCTGCAGTGGTTTTGAAGGGGGTTTTTTTGCTGTTTTTTTTTTTTTTTTCTTTAATAAAAATCACTTTTGTAAAAGCTATTAACTCGATGGTAACGCTAAGGGCCTGATTCTGCAATTTTGCACATTCAGAGCTGAAAAGTCCCACTATAGTCACTAGATGAGAAAGGAATGCCAGACCAGGCTCTACTCCAGTATTTGCTATTTATATTCTTCAAGGAATAAACATTTTTGTTGTACATATTTATTAAGTTAAATGGATATGAGACTGAATTTTAGGAAGAGAATTGGAAAGCACACTGTATATTTTCTAGCTAAACAAATATGATTCCATATATTTTTCTGGCAAAATTTTGTAGCATGCTCTAAGAATTATTAATTTCTTTACATTTTGTATTTAAAAAATGTATTATTGCTTAGTATTATTTGTATAAGTTGTGGTATCTTTTGGTAAGGATGTTTTAATTTATCCAATGATTTTAACTCAATTACAGTGAAAATATAGCTCAAGTGACCTGAATATTTAAATATTCTGTGAGGAAGTGAATGTACCATATTTAAGAAGCTGGATTTTTATATAGAATTTCATAATCTTATTTTATAAAGCAATTAAATTTTTCAGTTTAGTTTTTGACTGGTGTTTTACTCTTGATTCTAAAGTAGGAACTAATTACAAAGACAGACTATGTGGATTTTGCACTTTATCTTGGGCTGGGGTCTCTGCTACTCCCTGTCTGGTCTAGTAGTTAATATGTGAACCAAGTAAATATTGATCATGGAATTTCATGGTCACTGCAAAGGTGTAGAAGAAGCTACAAAAGTCCTTCTGGTTCCATTCTAAAAGGCCCAGGTGGTTGTGATATGACCAATTACAGCTCCATAGACACATTTGGCCCAGCACAGCTCTTGGCCCAGTGACGTTCTTGGAGAGCTCACAAACTCTGCCCTAACCACAGTAATTTCATGGAGGAAAGATGATGCATGGGCCTGACAGGCTTGGAAAGCCTCACATATTGCCACTGTGTTTAAAGGAAGGGAGCACTGAGAGGTCACATAAAAAATAGTCATTCACCATTTCTCTCAGCTACAGAATGAGACACCTACAAAGCCCTAAGCCCATAAAAGCAGAACAGAGACTGGATGAGTGTCATTATCAAAAGCTCTCAATTTTAAGGACCAGTGGTCGTTCACAATGCAAGCCAAAGGCTTTGGTGGCTTCAGAGAAAGACTGTACTCATGGGGTTTTTTTCTTTAAACCATGTGAACAGAGCTTGAATATTCAACATATTCTTTACCATTGTGTAAGGAAAGGAAATCCATAAGCATTTAGCCTTGTATGACAAATATTCTTCTATTAGAGATGAGAGCATCTTAACCAAAGAATGAGAAAGAGATTTCTGCTTGATACGATAGGTGTTCATCAGAATTGCTCTCTGTATAGCAAATAAAAATGAGACATACTGATTTAAAATACTTGGGACTCATTTTTCACTGAATTCTCACATCACTTTTTTATCAAAAGGAATAAACTCCCTTTTAAATTTCACATGCTATTAGCATCTCATTTATTGCTGTAACTGAGAAATGGTGCTGAACATGAAAAAATTTCTAGTTTTGTGTTGATTCATTTGGGATAATTTACATACTTGTACAACAGAAAGTGGTTTTATATGTAATTAAAAGATTATAGCAACAGACTCTCAAATTTGCAAAATAGATACCAGATGTTTCCATGACTCTGACAGGTGTGGAGGCTTGGGGTGTTTTAGGTGTTAAAGTGAGAATAATGATCTTACTGGCAACAAAATGAAGATCACACACACCTTGAAAACAATATCATCTTAATCCTTTCTACATATATTACAACAATTTTGAAATTGATAGTAGAAATCCAGTATCAAGTAGCACTATAATTTAAAAATTTATCACAGAGATAGAGCCCTCTAGAGAAAAGCATGATGGCTTCTTAGTACATGGGTTTTATTTTATACATTTATATTTATATTTTTAAAGTAGTTATATGTAACTCTCTGTAAACAATGCAGTGTTTGTGGTCCCTCAGGAGTGGCAATAGTGAAGAAGGTGCTTGGAGCCAGAGCCTACAGTTTAAGCTGAAACTACCATGTGAACATGATATGCTTCACTACAGTAGAGTATGGCCTGGACTGGATTTCCTGGGAAAATTTAGCATAGAACTATAACCTGTGCCTTCAAAATAGGATTTTTTCCCCCTAAACACAAAGTTACACATGCTTAAAGAACTATACATCTTAAAGCTGATTCAGTTGATCAGTTGCCCATGCTCAAGTAAACACTTCTCAGCCAGTATGTCCCTCATTTATGAACTTCACTCATATGAAGTTCATGACTTGAATGACTTGAACACATCCTGAGCAGGAGACATTTAAACTGTATTCCCTTCCCCAAAGAGCCTCCAGCCCAAAATAGCCAAGACAAACAAAAGCAAGACCCAGGATAATGAGGGAGAGGGTGAGGCAAACAGAAAGTGGGAGGAAAGCTTGGAAAAAATGTGGGTTTGGGGGTGGTAGCTTGTTTTATAAGGAAGGCTGCAGGAGGAGGAAGATGTGCAATGGGCAGCAGGTAGGAGAGGGGTCCCTGTGTCCCTGGCTTGGAGGAAATGCTGCTGTGGAGGGCAAAATGTGAGGTGTGAGGGCTGGGGACAAACAGCCAGAGCTGGGCCTCAGGGGTGACTTGAAGAGGGATTTTGTGCTCAGGGTGCCCTGACCTGCCAGGGTTACAGTGCCTGCTCTCCTCCCAGCCTGGCTGCTGACCAGGCTCAGGAATCAAATGTTTTGCCATCCTCTGGCCAGAGATCAGGCTAGCCTTGCCTTGGGATGGAAAGGAGTAGAGGAACAAGGAAGCAGGAGAAGTGTGCTGTCTCTGCTGCCCCAGACAGGGGGCAGGGATTGTGCTGTCCTGGCCTGTCAGCTTCCCCTTCATTGAGAGAAAGGAAAAGGAGTTTTGGGAATATTTGAGGGAGACAGTGAGATGGGCTTTAAGACATGTTCTTAAGCTGTCATTTCCAGCTCTGCTCTCGAAGTGTGGAAACAACCCTGAGCTATCAAAAAATACCGTGGGTTTAAAGCACAACTTATGATTCAAAAATCTTTTACAACCCTGCTTTTTAAATGGTTTTTATATGCCCTTGTCCTCCATCAAGGCAGTCTCTAAAGTCCCAGAAAATGCTTTGGAATATGGGGGAAATTAATGAAGAAACTAGACACTAAGTTCTGCAATAATATTTTTTATGCTGTGCACATCATCAAGCACAGTAGACCCTGACCTGTTCCCTGACCATGGCCCAGGAATGCTCTCAGAGCAAAAATCCATAGCATAGTCTGCTATAGAATGAATGTTTTAAAAATAAAGCTAGGTACTAAAGAGCTTTTAAAAAGTGTAGAGAACTAAATAATGACGTTTGAAAGCGATGGTTGGGAATGGGCACAACACAGAAACCGGACACCACACTCAGACTCACACACACTTTACAGCAGGAACACCACTTATCCCTTCAGCACCCTGAGACACCCACCCTGCCTGTCCTGATACGGGTCAGCACTGCCACATGCAAGGCAGAGGTGTCTGGTTTGCTCACAAATCACCTTCAAAGTGCCCAAATTGTCAGCCTTAAAGTAATTCAAAACCATGGCTCAGAAATAAGCAAATATTTATAGAAAAATGTACCAGTAATTTCTGCAGACTATCGGAAACTATTCAATTTTGGACAAATGTCAAATATGGGAAAGGCCCACCCTTCAAAAGATTTCTTTGTTGAAATAACATGGAGAAATAAAAATTGGTCAAAAATAACTGAAAAAAGTGTTTTTTCATTTTTCTTCCTTTACCTTAGTTAGATGAAGAAGCAATATTGGCAATAAGCTCCATAGTGAGGAGACAGAAAATATGTACAAAGCTAAGGCTGTTGTCACTGCGTGACTACTCCCAGTGGAGTTCAACGACAAATCTAAGGGAAAGAATTATAAGAATGGATGCAGAATTGCAATCAATTGAATAATTCTATTTTTATATTAGACTTTTGAACTGAATAAAACTTGAGACAAAATAAAGCAGATAAACACAATATGAACGTAATTTATTCCACTCATCATCATCTTCATCCCTTGTATTTATGGCAAGTTTGCGTAGGATTCCTCTGTTTGTCTTTTTGCATTTAAAAAAAGTTCTTTCATACTACCAGGCTATTTTTTTTAAATCATCCTGACCTTTAGTACCTAGGAGGTTATTTAAAAGGAACCACATGATGAAAGACTGTGGCTTTGGCAATATTTCTTCTGTGAAGAATACAGGGTGTGGTTCAATAATGGTGAAGACAGAACTTTCTGGAGAATATTTTTCTCCTTTATTTCTTTATCTAAGAAGAAAAGTCTTCATTCTCTTTTTAAATAAATAAATAATTTTTCTGGTTAGTAGGAAAATATATCATTCTGGATATGCAGAACTTTGTCAGCAGACAAAACAAAATTTCTCTCTATTGACAGTATCGGTGGTTTGGTATTCAGGGTGAGCTACAGCTCTGCCTGTGGCATTTTAGATGAGTGAAATGACACATCCTAAAGGATAACTAATCCCATTTAATACAATGGAAATTCAGTGTCAGTAAGAGGTAGATCAGGTCTGTGCATTCTTTGATGGGGAGAGACTGAGACATCAAAGACCAAGGTGCTTAAACACCAGCAGTTTTGCAGAAGCCTCTTTCTCCTGGCTGCAGTTAGGGAAGACTAACATAGGCTCATATTTTTGGGAAGGGTGTCCACACTTGGGAGATGTGTCAATGCTCAAAGTAGGGTGTGTTTTTGGATTGCAGCAAAACAAACTGAGAGTAGCTGGCAGGCTGGTGGAACCATGGGGAAACTGGACTATTCCAGTCTCTGGAGCTAGAGAGAAGCAGATTGGTTTGACGCCGCGTAGGTTGGGACCCAACACAGGGATACAAGGAGCGGGTAGTTACTGTCACTGAGAAGTGTTTTTGAAAGTCTGAGAAGACTGACATGTTGAAACCTCAAGAAGACAGAGGAATGATGCAGAAAAATTTTGCACTTTGTGCCTCAAAACCAGACTTTACCTCTTGAAAAATTCACAAAAGCCAAGCGCTTAGAAAATAAGAGATTTCCTTGGCAGTTATTGACAAAGAGCCCATAGCAGTATTTGGGTGATGCTGTGTGGACAGAGGATGCTCGCAGGCAAGCAATGGCAGCATCAAGGCAGTTCAATACCCAGCTATAGAACTGACAACCACTGATGCTCCCAGGCCCTCTCTGTACCCTCCATGACTTGACAATTTAAACACAGCACAAGGGAGTTCAGACCCACTAGAGAAGTTACTGCAAAGGTTTGTGTGCTGAAATTGGGTCCCTGCCTTCCCACCCCATCACTGTCTCAGTGAAACATGGACTTACAGCCCGGCTCTCCCTTGGGGTGCAATCCAGCTGAGTGATTCCTTTGGGTGCAGGTAATTGCTTCACTCTCCTGCCACTCAACCTCTCCTTGTCCAACAGCACACACTGTGTGTGTAAGGGAGGTGGCACCAGGAGTGAACTTCTTCCTCCCCAGCCTCAGGAGATCCTATCCACCACTGCTGGGAAGGGGCCCTGACAGCCTGAAGACAGGGCAGGACACACCAGGCTCCAGCCTCCATCCTGGAATGGGGCCACACAAGTGGCTGAGTGCATATTAAACAGTCATAGAAAAATGGGCAGGCAGGAACTGCATTTGCATTAAACAGGAATAGAAAAAATGTGTCTGCTTAGACAAAAAGTGATGTCCAGGAGCCACAACCAGGGAAGTATTAAAAACGCTTTGTACAGCTCTATGAATTCAAACTCTGGATTAACTATTGTTAATTTAGTGTTCTCTTCAGTTAAACTAATTGCAGAGTATTTCTACATGCACAAAGAAATGAATTTCAAAAAGAACAGTATGGGTGAAACACACAGGTCTGACTGTTCATGTCCCATCTTCGTTGCTCCCTTAAAACCATTCTAATCACACAATAGCCCTATTACAGCTCTTTCTGCTTTCATGCTGCTCAGTTTGTTGATGCAATTCTTTCCCCTGCTTTGGCAGAGAGAAAGGCTCTGTTCTTACATTGCATTTTACCCCTCTCCCATTCAGCCATGCTGTCATCCTCATGTCACCATGCAGAAAATCTGCAAGGTACCTACTGAGTCTGTAAGGAGCAGCAATTAACCACAGAGCCACTGCACTCTAAATAACCAATCCTACCAAAAATATTTTGCTTCTCAAAGGCTCCTTCAGCAGTGATCAGGATGGCAGAGAACTTTGCTATTGCTCTGTGCTACACTGTATTTACAAGCTGCTTTGGAAGTGCAGAAATTGCACCTATTCCCACAGAAATGTCCCTGCTCCCTCTCACATGATGATAAGAGAGTGGTTATTGCAACATCCCACTGTGTAATCCTGAAGGGTATAGGACAAACTCAAACACCCACAGAATACAAAGTAAAAGGATTCTGACAAACAAAAAGCCTGGATTATACATCAGGT